CCCCCCCCCCCCCCCCCCCCCCCCCCCACCTCGGCAACTGAAACGGGAAACAAGCTGCCTGCAGTATTTGACCTTGATTGACTGATTGATTTACTTTTTACTTGAATCTCATCACTAAGCGATTTCCATACTTTAAAACACATTAGATGAATTAATCTATTAACCCACAAAATATGAGTTAGAACTGGGCATTTCCTTGAGCAATTAGAAGTTTTAGCCTGCATCACAGTGGACTTTTCAAATGTACGAATCCCGCCAAAATAATTGCGTTTAACCTCAAATTAGTGACCTAGAAATCTAATTATTCTCGGTTGTCTTTCGTTGAATAAATTAAAATGCTTCTCAATTTTTAATTAATTATTTTACCCAATAATTATGTTAGTTGGGAAAAAAAATATCAAAAAAGGCAGAAATTGTGACACTTTTCTTCCAAAAACAAACCAAAATATATATTCAATTCGCTGCTTAAGGTAAATGGAAGGCATTGACGTTTAAATTTTGTGATTACGTCAATTGTCAATGTTTGACAATATCAAGACAACACTCCCAGAATGGATTTGCTAAAATTATCTCAGTATTTTTTTAGAGATTGAAAAATGAAGTTGACGCCTTTGTTTTACGGTGAGTTGGTGAGGGATTTTTGAAAGGGTAGTCATTTGCTCTCTCTGTTAACTGCAATAACATAACGCGAACTCTGTGAAAGAGTGGTAGAACGTACCGGTTCACCTTTAATGCCCACACAATTACAAACTTCGGGCGTGCATAGCTCAGTGCATTTGGTTTCGTTCTTCTCCTAAAAGAGAGAAAAAAATTTTAAAAAAGTTTTTCAATTTTTTGGCAAGTTGAAATTAAAACTTAAACATGCTTCTCTAGTCTTCCACAATGTTGCAAGATCAGCTTCAAATTTAATATTTGCGACTAAAATATCAATATACTTATTCACTTACCACGTTTGGATTTGTAGTGGGGGCTTAATTTATTGTTTATAATTTTAAAATTACATAATAATAATAATGGAATATTATTTTAATACAAAAATTAATCGTGAACTTCTATTGTTACTGTCAATTCTAAATGTTTAATCACATTTAAGATTGCCGGTTTAAGCTATTTAGGCAATTGAAGCAGATGAATATAAAAGAAAACTTAAAATCGATAAACAAATATTAAATTTGTTAATTTAGAGTTTCGACAAAACAAACTTCTTTTCAGGATTTAATCTATTAAATAAATAAACAGCATAGATTAACCGCCTTATCGATTGTTAAAAATTTTTGTTTGAGGTCCGACTTGCTATTGAGTCTTTATCTTATCAAAAGTAACATTTAATTAGCTAATTCTAATGTCCATTATTTATAAAATACGGAAATATTTCCTTCTTTTAAGAAAAAAACGTAGAGGGACACAAGTAACTGGATTTGAACATACGGCGAGAGCGGTTAAAGCCAAGAGCACCAAAACAACGATCAGCGCGCCTTTTGGGCTGAAAAGGACAAATAAACGAAAAGGTGAATATTAATTTGAAATATTTTAGTAAATAATATCAACCGATGAAGGTGTTATTTCAATGCTTTGTAGGTGATTGATTAACC